TGAAAGGACTTGTGAATAAACAGCTTATAAATTAAAAAAGAACTTTCTAGAATCATTGTATTATGTATAGAGTAGAACAAAAACCTTGCATCTCTGTGAAACATCCTGTGCAGCAAGCATAGCAGCATATGGTGAAGATTCATCCCTGTCAGCTTTAACCTTCATTCCACCTGTACATGTTAGGTTCAAGGAGATATAGAGTTACATTAATTGCAGACAATGGCCTGAAGCCATATGCCAGAGCAAAAGTTCAATGAGCGAATGCAGAACCAAAATAAAGCAAACTACCCAATTATATGATAGCTCAAAACATTGAAACCATCAAAGGTGGCACTACAGTGAATACTTTAACAATATATGGTACTAAATGCTGAATTCACGAAGAAATTGTGTTTTCAGATAGTTAAAAGATTTCCACTGCACACCTAAGTACACATGTTAAATGCGAATACACAGACACAGGTAAACACTACCCCTGAAATCAGGGTAATGACCTAATTGAGTCCGAACCCACCAATGTATAATACAGACAGAAGTCCAGGCAACAAATAAGAACACTCAATCATGCTAGTCAAAACAGGGAATTGAATTGGAAAAGGCAAATAGAGCAGTAAGCAAAGCGTATATATTTTCATGTCTTACTCAGATTCAAGAACCAATTATTAAGAAAAATAAGCCATTATAAAAAAACATACCAGTAATGCGAACCAGGGTTTCCCTACCAGACAAATCAGTCACATGCTGCAATTATTTCAACCAAGCAAAATCACTAAAAGATGAAATCAAACCAGAAAATAATGAAAATATTTATACTCCATTCTAGCTAATATGAACGAATACTCACAATAAAGGTATCATTAAATGAAGCAAAAATGTGAGCCACCCCGAAAACATGCTCTCCCTCCCTTACAGTTGGGCCAAGTGTAACATTCTCTTCCTTTGGCTCTCTTGTCTTTCTCCTCGACTATAAAATCATAAACAAAACTGTATCAGAACAAAAATCCACTAAGAAGAAACAAAATATAAATCTGATAAACAAATACCACCACCTCCGAGGCATGATTAAAATAAAATCCCACTACTCGATACCCTAGCACAGTGATGAACAATCAAAACAAAGCACAATATATTTTTCCTACGATTTCCAAACATTCTCAGCCTAAAACATATGCAAATTCAAAATCCGAACACATCAGCAAAAACCCACTTCCCTTTGTCTTTATTGTTTATTTTCTTGGGAAAAAAAACAGACGAAAGAAACAAATTTCCATTTCTTCAGTCCTCCAAGTCAGATACACCAACATTAAGAAAAACACCAAAAAATAAGGGGAGGCTAAGAGTATAACGAAGAGATTTAAGGACGTGATAGAGATTTCACTTACCATGGCTAAAAGCTGAGTAGGTCTAGAAGCCGAAGGATGCTAATAGGGTTGATGGCCGAGCTTGTAAGTTGCAGCAGACGACGGAGAGTGGCTAAACTAGGGGAATTTATATGAGGGAAAGTGGCTAGGGTTTTAGGAGCGGAGCAATATCATTTGTATTTGCTTGAAGGTCCTTAGATTTTCCTTTTATTCTTATTGGGACTGCATATTGAGCTGGGCTTTTCTCTTTGCTCCAAATCTGATTTGTAGTCTTGGGTTATTTATATGGGCTATAGAGCCATACCATGCTTTGTGAAAAAACTGACCCAACATGACTTCTTGAATATGATTTAATTTATTTTTATGAAAAAAGATCATATTTTTATTAAAACATAATATTAACTAAGTTAATAGTTGGGTTTTGTCCGGGTCAATTAAAGTTTTGATAGAATTATTTGAATTTTATTTTTTAATCGGACTGAGCCAATTCAAATTAAAAAAAAAAGTGATTAGAAACAATTTTCTTAAAGAATTAGTAATATATAGATTTGAGATAGAATTTAATTTAAAAAATGATTGGTTTTTTTTTTTGTGAGAATTCAGTTTCATTTGGTTTGATTTTAAAAATTGGCAAACTAAACATATTGATTTTAGCAAGTGTTCAAATTAAAATGGATTTTATTTTTTTATTTTATGATAAAAAATATTATTGAGTTAATTAGTATGTCAATCAATATTAGTTTTGTTTTTTAAAATTCTAAAAACACAAACTAATCCCCTTAAGATGATCTTAAAATTTAAACCTAAAAAATCAAAAATAAAATATATCATTTTGACTGAAAAACCAATCCCTTGAACCTTTCCTATAATGAATATATCAAAGAGGAAACAATGTAATTGGGAGTTGATTATGCAACTGTGGAACTGGTGTAATTTAGAATACTTGTTGTTCCCATTTCATTATTTTCCAAAGTTATATGTATAGCTTTT